GTTAATGTCTCCCAGGGGCAGGAGGTTTTCAGTGGCAAGAAATGAAGTGTTCTGTTAAAGTGGCTATTGCTGACTTCAAAGACAGAGTTCAGAAACAGAAATTTATTAACCATAACTGATAAAAGCCATTGAGAAACAGCATTCTATGATGTTACACATGGTCCATTTATCCATGACCTTTTTTTCTTCCTTCTTTCCTTCTCTCTTTTCTCAATTAATTGAGAAAATTAACACTAATTGGGGAAAATTAACACTAATTGGTGAAGAAACTAAGAAATCTGGATACCATATTCAGAATGGGAATAATGAAAGGAAGCAAAACAATTTAATTAATTGATTACATTCATTTAAGGGGAATGAAGTGACTTTTACCTTGGTCTCTATGGAAGCAATTCCATTGTCAGTGGTAATAAAGGCTGAAACATAGAAGTTACAAATTTTAGCTTTGGAGAGTTTGAGCATGATGAAAAGATGGAAGTTTGTTCCCGGGTTTCGGCACCAAAAAAAACCAAAAAAACAAAAAACAAAAAGATGGAAGTGACGTTCCTAATGGAGAAGACTCAAAAATTGGCACAGGACAATTAAGCAGTTCTAGCCCCTATTGAAGTCTTAAAAAGAAGCAAGAGGCTGGGAGACTGACTCATGGACAGTCCATCTCTCTAAGGTGAATTGAAGGTGTGGTAATAATAAATTTGATCCTGATTTCCTTTGGATAGAATTTTGATTTTTACATAATTTTTACATATATTATGTAATTTGAAAAACTATTCAGGGAAGTAGGTACTGTTGCACTCATTTAAATGTTGGTGAATTAAAGGCTTGAACATTTTACTGATCTTCCTAGAAATATACAATTTGCAAAGTACACAGGAAAAGGATTGGAAAATACAAACATAGCAAATTTATAAAGTAATGACTATGGATAGTTAAGTTGAGGTTGGAGAAATAAGTTTGGATTAAGTCTCTTTCTTTGTGACTGGTACACAATGCCTTATACTCACACTTGAAAAGAGGAAAGATTTTTTTTGTCTTGCAGTGTTTAGACATTTCCGTTCATAGTCTGCTAGGTTCACAGCAGGAAGGGCATGGTGCAAAAATTTATGGAGAAAGCTGCTCATATCATGGCCACCAGGATGCAGAGTCAATTGAGAATTGGGAAGGTACATAAACACTTCCAGGTCATGACCTCAGTGACCCGCCTGTTCCTGCCAGGTTCCACCTCCTAAAAGCAAGCTCACCCAGTCACCTTCCACAGAACCTCTCTCTGAGCCAGTGAGGCTTTAGGGGAAGGTTCCAAAGCCCAACTGCAACAAAAGTCACTATTTTAACACAAAAATTGTTGTGGATCTCATAGAGGTTTCTATTTGGTTGAGTTACTGTACTCCTGTACACATAATTTGTGAGAAATACTCAAAATTTAAACATAGATACTTGCTGGAGAAAACAGTGAGACTGACTCCGTGGAAGTATTCCATGGGGAACTAGGATAATTATTTTCATTATAATATTTTACTCATAGTTCCCATCAGAAAGTCACATGGATGTGCTGATCTCGGGAGGAAAAATGGGCTAGGATTACCTAACACTTTCTGCCTGACCTGAAGAGAAGGCTCTTCATTTGTGCTCTCTGTGGTGAACCAATACATATGTAGAACATGTAATAGTGTTCTACAGGGATGGAAAGGCCCACCCAGCTGGAAAACAATGTTGCAAAGCAGATGTTTTACATATGCACATATGTGGGTGTTTCTAAGCATTTTACTTGGATATGTTTTAATGTAAAATTCCCAAAGAGAAGAAACTAATTTGACACTGTATTTTTATTAAGAGATTATATCAAAGAAATTATAGTATTCAACAAAGAGGAGCCTAATGCAAAAGTTATAGAAATTAATATAACACAAAAATTAAGTAAACATTTTCCCCTAAAATTAAATTTTACAAAATAAGCTGTCCATACAGGATTTGGTATCTATAAAAGGGATTGGAACAGATGACAGAGTACAATAAGTGCCCTAAGTTACAAATGTACTCTGTGAGTTCAAGTTGGTAAATATTATTTCCCTCTAACAGGAGAATGAGCACTTAGAAATAGAAAAGCCTTTATCAGTCCTAATGTTTCTGGTTCCTCTCTGCCTCCAGGGGTCTGGATGTAGATAACAGGCAAGGGGAACTTGTGAAGACTCAGAAATTAGAATGGAGGCAATCTATGGAGAGAGAGAGAGAGAGGGCTGAGGGAGGGAAAGGAGAGGATGGAGTAGGGAAGAGGGGAGAGAAAAGCTGAGGGGGGGGGGAAGCAGGGGTAGAGAAGAGGGAAGAGTTCTGTGAATGGCATGAGGGGGGCAGCTTTTAATTTGTCCTCAAGACACAGAACAGCATGTGTGTGATTTACAATCAGCAAACAGAAGGGCTGAGCCAGAGGAGAATCATGCAGCTCAACAAGTAAGAAAGAAAAATGTTTGAAAGAAAAAAAAACCCTGAATACATTTTGGTCCTATTCTTCTCTCTTTTGTTTCTGAATTCATCATTTTGTTATGTATAAATACCACCTGTCTGAGACCTTGACAAAGGACTGTTTTTGTCACCTTTCTGGGTATAATAGAATCATTACATTATGAAGTTCCTCAAATGCTTGACAAAGGCAATTTATGATCCTGGCAATCCCCCAGGAGAGGCAGGTTGTTAATCTTGTTTGAACAATACTTACTGCTTCATGCGTTCTGTGTTTCTAATGCATGATAAAGATTCATTACTCTGGCTGTGGGTTTGGTCCACTGAATTGTTACATCATCCTTCCTCATAGAAATGGTCTCTGTTGGGTGTGGTAAGATTTGAAATGGGTACAGGGATGAAAATATTAGAACATTTCTAAAGAACTTGAGGAGAAATAAGTGATGTCCAAGAATTATGAAACTTAGAATCTGGATCAGCCTAGCCATTATGAGGTTGTAGGAATGATAAAACCATTAGTTAAGATTGTTGCCCAAATGCATTCCAAAGTCCCCCAAGATTGGAAAGGACAATAGTAAGATACTGTGTTTTGAAATTCAAGAGTATTGGAGAATTTGATTATAAAGGAAGGAAAAAATACTTTAATAAGGAAGCGTGGCATGATAGAAATAACTACTAGGTTTGGTAGAGCTTTTTAGAAGTTTTATCTATAATGTTTTCACAATGAGACTCCATGGAGAAGTGGTAAAACCATTGGGATTTGGATACAGTCATCTCGGTGAGGGGGAGACTCCATACTTAAGTATTCTGACTCAAAGCCTGGCTTCTGCTTTCACTTTGCATGGCCTCTTAGGAAAGCTTCTAAAAGGGGAAAGCTAAGAAGAGACTGAGTGGTTTCCACTGCATCTCTGCACTGGCCCACGGGCAGGACGTGGGAGGCGTGGAATAGGACGGTGCTAGATGAAAAGGAGGCACTGGGTCCCGTGGGGTTTGTTCCAAAGGGTGTAACTGCAGGCGCTGGAACACAGCGTTGGAATTAGACCATGAGGCTTTGTGCAGGAAGAGACATGTGCTCCAGCAAGTGGGTTTTAGGAATTAAAAATGAGTGACTGTGCAGCAAAAGTATTCCTGGGGTCTTTCAGTCATGTTTGCAAAGTTGTTGGAAGAGGTGGTCAAACTGCACCATGAACCTCATCTTGCTGGCCGAGGGCTTCCTTCGCTGACCTGGGCACAGGGCAGATGGGGAGGCTTTCATGGCCCTGGTGGCCTGGTCACACGGATGGGTGCAGGGATGAGTACCTTTGTTTGCCATGGTGTGTGGCTCTTGGAGACACAGACAGGCTTTCCTTTCAGGTTCCCACAAGAGGATGGAAGGAGAGGAGACCGGGTCCTCTGCGTTGGCTGTGTCACTGCCCTTCCTTGTGGCTGCGGTAGAGGAATCAATGGCTTTCCCTTCATTTCTGTTCCATTTGACTTAAAGTATCTAGCTAATGACCAAGGAATTTCTGGATGAATATTTCAATATAATTCAATAGTAGAGAGTCATTATTTCTTTATCATCGGAACCCTGTTTTTCACTTGAACTCATAATTTATAAATTTAATTTAAATTCAGGTGAAAATGTTACAATACTATTTCACCCAGATTGCCTTATACATTGTCCATATAAAATTATTATACAAAAATTAATATATGCTCATATAAAGATATCTGCCTCCTGCACAGAATTATGTTTTTCCTTTATTGTAGAGAAGTTAGAGAAACAATTTGTATTCTAAATTCTGCAAATACTTCAATAAGTATTTCTCCTAAAATAAATACCACAGTATTTAGTTGCTTTTGCTTGAAATTTGGACAGAAACCATGAAAAGGATGTATAATTTAAAATATGACACTGATATGACACCTTTAAGTGAGTAATATTTTCTTTTCAGATATTCGTATGTGGAAGATCTTTTAAATAAAAATAAACTTATCATAGACTAAAAAGCATATTAGTTTTACAAAAACTGGTGATCTGAGTATATGGGACATGTTTAGTTTCCTGTATTTTCTAATTACCGTTGCTTTTCTTTGAACTGAGAAAGTCAGTTCACCTTTCAATGAACTTTTCTTTTCCATCCTTGGAGATGAGACATTTAGGAAAATGGGGAACAAGGGTCCCCTTAGTGAAGTCATTGCAGCTCTAGGGGGGATCCCTGATTACCAGATAATCATGAAACTCTAGTACAGCACAGTTAATCACTGTGGCTATAAAATGCAAGAGAAAACCGTAGCAGAGAGTGGGGGGCTCGCCTTTAGACTGACATTAAAATTTACACTGCTCATCTGCTGTTGGTTGAGTTAACAAAAACGCACATCATTCTTATCAGTTTTGCAATATAAAGGCTAGGAAATGTGGTACTCAAAAAGACAGGTGTGGGAAGTCTCCACTGTCTTCAACAAAAGGATCTAATGTATCGAGATTTGTCTATTATGGTTGAATTTGTCTTTGGTTTGTGTGAACTCTTTTCCTGGTCAGCATCTTTCCTCCTGTCTCCATTAAACAGGAAACCCCACCTGTGCTGTGCTCGGATCTCGCATTCTTGCCCTCCTAAGCCCAGGTAAGTCATCCATTGCCCTTATTTCTGTGAGGACCAGCACAGATCCTAGACTTGTCCACTGCCTTGCAGCAGATTTGGCTCAGCGATACGGGGCAATAAAAGTAACGAGGCCATTGGAATCCCTTTAGCTTCATGCTGATGCTGGAAACTGTCATCTATTGTGTACTGCCTTTCATTGAAAGGGGTATTTTGTTGTTTTTAATTTTTGATAGTAATTGCTACTACATTATTTGCTCATATTAAAAAAGTAAAAAAGCAGTAGGTCTGGCTTCTTGGTTCTTACCAAGCACCGGTCATTATAGATTTATATAAGATTTTATTTGTATTCATTTATTTTGACATTATTGCCACAAAATATCTTGAAGATTTTTGGTAAAGCCAAAAAAGATAAAAATCAATTCTATACCAGTTGTTTAGATGTAAAATTGAGAGCGCACCTCCGAGACTCAGGGCCATTTCTCCCCCTCCTTGCAGTGTATCATACAGACTCTCTAAATATAGGTGAATAATAAATGCACCTCATTAATAATTAACGGATTGTAACAGAACACAGTATCTGCATAATCCTCCACGACACTGATGTCTACACTGTGCCACTTTATATAACGGCATGAAGGCAGCTGTGCTCTCTGGTGTGGACTGACCACAGTAGATGAGTTTTTGTTACTGTGGATATTTTGTCCTATGTGCCCATTTATCAATAATCATCTTCAGGCCCCTCCAACGGTAGCACAAGCAGGAAAAGAATAATTGCCACTGTTCCTGGAGCCAGCTTATTGATGAGGTAGACATGAAGCCTACTGGCTGTCCTGCTGGCTGTCCATTGGTGAGTAGTTTCCTGGGTCTGTCACTTCTCTTTTTCTCTGGAAACTGTTATGGCTTTGTGTGCCCAAGAAAAATAATGAGATCCATCTATCCTGGAAAAAAATAAACAATAAAGTCTATACCTTCCAATTAATTTGTTTTCACCTATGTTTACCCATGTGTATTCAGTTAACTATTCATCAAGTTAGATGCATGTAAAGAAGAGCATTTTTCAAAAGGTTGAATCCATTAACCCTTTTACCAACAGAATATATAGGCATCCATCTGAGGTAAATCAAGGACTTGTAAAGATCAGTCCTTTCGGAGAGCTCGTAAACACTCCCTCCGTCTCTCTCTCACCAGCCTGATGTTGATAAATCTCCAGACTTCCTTTCAACCAAGCAGGTTGTCCTCACTCTCCACTCCATACTGTGTGTCTGCCTTTCATTCAGTTTGGTTTTCATATGGCTCAACATTTTTAGAAATTAGTAGAGAAAGAGCAATGTAAGTCAACAGCTTCAACCTGATGTAGAATTTGTTAACAAGATTGAGTGGGAAATGGTAATGCATATCCATAATCAAATGCCGTTTTTCTCTTTTCCTTTGAAAAATATATGTTTTGCCAAATCAAAAACACTTAAAAGAAATCACTTTGGTAGTATGTGTTGCTAGGCTTTTGCTGACATTTCTAAGCTATGTGAGCTTTATTATTGCTCTTTGCTGACAAGAAACTTCAATACCGGAAGAGGTCCTGAAATTAAACACCCCTCTCTTTTTTCTAATCCATCTGTACTATCAAACTAGACAGGCCCTGTTAAGTAACCACTTGTCAGAGCTTTAAAACCGTGAATGATTATGGCAAAGCATACTGAAAGCTCTCAATTTAAAAAACAACCTATGTTTTGAGACTTCATTTGTAAAGAGCATTGTTTGGAATACAGGAACTAAAGTGGTACAATTTCTAGTCCACTGTACTGGGCCTCTAGAACATCATAGATTTAAGAAAGTGAAGAGACCTATCCAGTTCTTAACTTGACACCATTCACTGCACAAACAAGGAAAGTAAGAAAATTAAGTATTTGCTCACAAGAAATGGCAAAGAAAGCAGCTGGTTTAGCATTGATGGTTAAAATAACACCATGAAGTTAGTAATAGGTACTAGAAAGTGGGTATGTAAAGGGAAAATGGGGTTTAATTTGAGGAATAATATATTTAAGAATTTTAAAGAAAATTTTATGACATTTTAAGTGACTGTAAGTTTGATAGCACTGATTCTTTCATGTCATTTAATTTTTATCATTAGTTTTTTTATTTAGTTTTGCTCCTATGCACGTAACTGAATTATAAATGTAAGTTTTGTAAAGAATAAGGAAAGCAGGGCTTTTAAAAAGCCATGAGAGAATAAAGGGGAAAGGAAGGGAAAATTAAATTATGCAAAAGTTAGAAAAAATGACGTGAAAGAGGAATGTCAAACTGGAGGCTGAGGACCAAAGTATCATTTGAGATAAGATCCTTTAGCTGTGAGGTTAAGAATGTGGGCTCAATACAGACAAGTATGTCCAAGAAAACAAGAGAAATTATGGTAGCCACTGTTGATTTCCTGTTGTCTTGTTTTGAAATCCTGTGTTGCTTACATTGTTTTATTCTGATCTGCTTTGCTGTTTTGTTTTATTCTCTTTAAAATAATGATAATAGTAATAATAATAAAAAAAATATGGACTCAAAAACCAGGTTTTGCCCTTTATTACCCTGACGGTGCTGTGTTATGTCCTAGATTCTTTATGCCTCTGTTTCTTTATTGAAAAGAAATCTAGTCTATGGCCAAACCACCCAGTCTACAGAAAAGAAATCTAACCCTAATTACAGTGCTTAGACCTGGGTAAGGATTTCTGGGCATACGGTGAGCTCTCAAGAAAGGTCATTTATGGTAAGGCTCACTCTCTAAGTTATGTTAGAAGCAGTAGGTTCTCAAACTACAACAGGATGACCAAACCCAAGCACCAGTCTTTATATGGCCCATGAGCTAAAAAATCTTCCATATTTTAAGTGATGGAAAAAAGCATCTAAAGAAAAATAATATTTTGTGATGCATTAAAATTGTGTGAAGTTCAGTTTCACTCTTAATATATTTAATTGGAGTAAATCAATGCTTATTAACTTCCATATTGTCAATGGCTACTGTCTTGTTACAGTGATAAAGTTTATTTGCCATTCCTGTGGGCTTTAGTGAAAATGTTTGACAAATCCTTGACTAAACAAGAATACATTGGGAGTCAATGAGAGCACTTTTAGAAATTAGGACCAAAAGCATAAACTGAGAATATATTGCATATATGGTAGGTCATTCTCTGTGTATTATGAACAAGAAAAAAAAATAAACATATCAGAATTGAAAGAGGAGAAAAAATGAATGGAAAGAGAAAGCACTGCCGATGTTTGCAGCTTGGATGACTCATGAAAGTATATATAGCACACATTCATTTCTTGTGTTGTCACCAGCAATCCCAGTACCAGTACAGTAAGAGCCAAACTCACCTCATAGAAGCACCTGTGTAACTGCTTCTCCTCACGCCAGCACCTTCTCTACCCGCTTTCTCCTTTGTTCAATCTGTTGTCTCCTGTCACCCCCACTTCGTATTTTCCAGTAATTTACCAAGTCACTCTCTGTGAATATGAAGTTGCAGTACCATCTGCCTGGGATGCTCCTTCCTGAACTTCAGAGTCCAGCTCTTATGTGTTGCATTGTCCTCAATTCTATGATTTGATTTTATTTTCTCTCTAAAACCACCACTGCTTCTCAGGAACCTGGATGCTAAGATTCTCTATAGCAGGGAGGTTTCTGCAGTCCGTTTCTGAAATTCCAGTGCCTACCATGCTTCCTGAGACAGTGCGGACCCCTCACTGTGCTGTATTATCATTGTCCCTTCTTAAAAAACAAAACTAATTAGGTTTTATTCTTTTATGTTTGCGGTACATAAGGGCTGCACTTACTGTACGGATTCGGGATATGGGTGCCATGCATCTTAACTGTGTTTTACATCCATTACTTTGTCTCTTCCTGCATCTCTTGGTCTGTTTCTCTTTTGGAAATGATCCCCCCCCCACCACAGTTTCCTATTATCTGTCTCTTATTTGACTCTCTGATTTATTTATATGTTGGGTATCTCATGTAAAATAACTCTGATTTATCAGCTTCGCAGCAGAGTGGTGCCTGCATTTTTATGCTGTGCTTCTGTGCTCACCTGGGCCTTCCTACAGGCTGTCGGTTTGGGTTGGATCCATTTTACTCTTAGTGTCTGCTCTAGCTGGACAGTCTGGGCACAGAGTACCTTTGCATCTTGTTCCTCCCAGTTCCATAGTTTGCTTATTTCATGTGTGTCTCTTTGCAGAGCAATCCAAGCAGCATTTTGTCACCCTGCTGTACTTCACTTAGATCTCTCATAGGAGAAAGGAGCATGTACAAAATAGTTTGCTTTTTGCTTACTCTACATTGTTTTTCATGTCAGGGTCTGAAGGCATCTCCAAATGAGGGTCTGAAGTCCATGTGGGCAAAGGCCATCTTCCTAACAGTATTTCTTTGTGCCTAATACGATGTTGAATTAGACAAGGACACCTGCTTAAGAAATGTACCTGAGTAAAATGTGTGTTTACTCTCCATTACCCTGGGCATAAACATAATGTGGGCCTGGTGGTGCATGTCTTTAATTCCACCACCGGGTGACGCTGAGGCAAAAGGATTGCAAGTTCAAACCCAGCCCAATGATGCAGGGGCGACTCTGTCTCAAGTGTTAAAAGGGCTGGGAATGGAGCTCAGTGTGGTTGCCCTGGGTTCAACCTTCTGTACCTCCTCTCAAAAGAAAAATAATCATAATAGGCAATATTTATACCATTTGGCTTCCACAGCCAGCTTACCATCCCATCATCCCATCACCTGTGCTCATCACAGGTTGGGCTCATTTGCATTTTTGGCAGCTTGTCAAATGGTTTGTACCCTCACAGCACATGGAAGTCAAATTAATTATAGAAGCCCCTATGCAGTTAGCAATTGACTACAGAGAAAATTAAAATTCCGGTACACCCTTCTCCACATAGAAAATATGGGCAAAGTGGGAAGAGTGCAGATTGGAGCAGCTCCTTCCACCTTAGCAGAGTTAGAACAACAGTCTGTGCTCTGTGTTATATGCATGTGGAAGTTTATCTGATATCAGGGCTTCCAAAAAGAGAGCTGAGGTGTGATTTCCAGAGTGTAAGAATTGCATGGGAGGAAGTGAGTCTGCCTTAAACAGATTTTTGCTGTAAATCTACTGCCCGGGGTAGAATATAATGAATGCATATTTTTGCCTGAAATAAACATTTTACATTTATTTTCCAGCTCAAATATACATCCAGTGAAGCTTAGCAGAAAATGTAGATAAAATAGAAAATCACCTTTATCTGTAGTGTTTGATTAAAAAAACCTTTTCAACAACAGCTTTTAAATAAAACTTAACAGAATTATAAATTTTATAACACGAGATTCTACCTGAAATACTGTTATCAATGCTTTAGCATGAAAATATTCATGTACTGAAAATAAAATGTCATCTAGTGATGGAAAATACTACAATTCTGAAAAATATGGGTGGGAAAAGGCATTATGTAATAAATGTGGCTTTTGTTGTAAGTGCATGCCTGTCTGGAGAAAGCTTTCAGCATGTGGAGCATATTGAGAATAAGCATGCATGTGATTTGATCAAAGAACTCGAATCTCAGAGAGATAGTAAATAACACAGTATTAGGAAATTCTTTTAAATATTTATTTCTTGATTGGCTAAGATTGCTTACAAATGGCTGCACATTTCAGTATTGAAAAATCAAGTCTGAATAAGCATGAATCTTGAAGATAAGTTCGGCACCAACCCTGTACGTGTGGAGATAGGGGAAAATATTCTTAATGGTAATGACATCCTTGATGATGTTTATGATCGACTCCTAAGCAGCTTGGAATGTTATTATCAAATTTTTTTATTCACCTTTCTTGTGTTTTGGGGCACAGGGTGGGGGAAGGTATCTTTTCAACTTTCTCAGAAGATCTCCAGTCATTCCCTTTTTTGTCGCAAGTTAGGTAACATATGTGACTTCGTCGTGAGGTTTCAACTACTACTGCCATCTCGGTTATGAAATTAATTTGTCTTAAGATTCTAGAGAAAATGGCTGTGTTTATGTCTGTGTAGGGAAGAGGATGTGTGGACGTGTTTGTCATCTGATGAGGAGTTTGTGAACAGGAGGACAATTTTGCTGATCAATGTCATTTGCAAACCAAATTGTTTGCAAATGGAAGTGTTGAGAAATGAGGTATCACTGTAATTGATGATTTAAGTACTTACACTATTAATGTCTTTTTAAAAAATTTTTATTTAAAAGGAAAAAGAGAAAAAACAAAACAAAACAAAGCGGTGTAAGGGTACAAGTAACACAGAACTACCAAAAAAAAAAAAAAAAAAAAAAGCAAGAAATCACCAGTTAATAGATTACACAATATCATCTTAGACACAGTATCAAAGCATACAAAGTGAGCATTCAAACAGAGAGGCTGCAAACAGTTGTGTTCAATGATCCAACCAAAAACATTAATATGGTCAGCTATTTAACACCCCTAAACACACTTGCAGTTGTATCCTTTAGAGCACTTTTTTTCCCTCTTTACTATTAATGTCTTTTATGAAAAGCCCAGTTGTCATTGTACTCAAAGAGAATAAGTGAATAATCATTCAAGTGTTTCATTGTTCCTTTCTCCCTTCATATTTATTAGCTTTTAAACAGGTGGCTTCTACGTAGGGTGATATACTGTTCTCAAAGAGCACCTGCAAATTATTTATGTTACTTGTAATATTTATGAATCACTGACATTGAGAACTATTGCCAAAGAAAAAGTTTATTATTATAAAAAACTCAGAATTCAGTACACAAATAAACATTAAAACAGCAATATTTCCCAGCCCTTTCAGGAAAATATTCTTCATTGATTTCTCACTGCTAAGAAGAGTGAAGTGAGTCTAAGGGTGAGAGAGATGGAGAAAATAATAGAGAAAACATCACTCTGTGTGTTTCAACATCGCCACTGTGCGGGCATGGGAACCCTTTTTACAGGGGACACAGACACATTTCTACCAATCAAAAGCAACCACTACTGTAATTTTAGACATCTTCTAATCTGCTATTCGAAGTAACCTTCTGTTGTAGTGTATGCAAAGTCAAATAAAAATATAAGTATAAATAAGCAAAATTTGCTAACATTTTTTCCAAGATATTTTTAAACAAGATCAAGATTTTAAAATCATGGCCAGTTACTTTTATTGTACCTTTCTAATGAGGAAAATGCAATTTTTTTCTTAGTAATCTCAATAGTATAGGGTCTTTCTTTGCTGTTATAAATATTGTTACAGTGTTACAATGAGCAGTTATGTGTTTGCATTTGTGTATTTATTCAAAATATTTTGTATATCCTTAGAATAGAATTCCAGGGATGCATATATGTTAATGACCTCTCTATAACTTTTGATACAAATTTTATTTTCTATTACAAATTTCTAATCTTTAACAGTGCATCATGGTAAACACAGAGTTTGTCTTGCATGTAAATGCTCACTGTTGTGAAAGTCATGAATGATTTTGTTTTACAAATTAGCACATTTAAATTTCACAATAATTTTTACAATAGTCCTATTGTTATTGTTATACAAAAATAAATCAAAAGATTGAATTTGAAGATACTGAATGCTGAAGGCAATAATATGCCCAGGGATGTATAATTAATAAACTATGAGTACACTAGTTTCCATGACTGCCTTAATACTAGACAAAATGCATTTATTTGCTGTAAACTTAGTAGATAATAGGTGTATGTCGTTTAAATGTAACTTGCTTGATCATTGATGACTAGTTTTATTTTTTTTCTTTATCTGGCCTTTTAATGCTGGATTAGGTATTTATTGAGTTGTGTGGATCTCTCTCTCTCTCTCCCCCTCTTGCCAGTGTAAAACCTGGTTATACCTAGTCAATGAATGGTAGCTCTTAATATTCTTATTGTAACTAGTTACTGGGGGAATTTAGAAATACAAAATCATGTATCTCATTTAGCATTTTTTTGCTACCTCACTCATTGTCTCACTCAGTTGACTTTACTTTGGGATACACACTTGTTCCTTTAACTAAGTAACCTGGCCTGTAGCTAACTCTCCTCCCTGGACTGGGCTAGAACAGTACAGAAATCTTTTTTTGACCCCTCCCCAGACAATAAAAGTACATGCGTGTGCACACGTCACAGCACCTCTGCATGCTTCCTTTGCCTTATCTGTGCAGTGGCAGTTATGACGGCCCCTATTTTACAAGGTTGTTAGGCAGATAAAATACAGCGGGTCACTGTATGTAGAAGTGTAGAGAAGAGATATCACTTATTCTCCATGTGATTGTTTTAGCTGTTAATCTCTACGTTCTAACAACTGACTCCAGTGTTATAAGCCCCAGAAGAAAACCTTCTCTGTTATCTTAACTCTTGGCTTATTTTAGTTCCTCTCTTCTGTTCCTTTCTCCTTTTATAGGATGCTGCTTACAGTTCTATAGAGTAATATTCATGGCTTTATGAACTGGCTTCTCTGTAACTCTGGTTGTCCACATTAGATTATGTCTGCTTTTGACTAATTAGCTACTTATCTCTCTGAGTAGTGGGGCAGTTTATTCGTGCCATCTATGCAGTGTTCTGTCTGACTCACTATTCTTTCCCAGTGAACAGAAGAGTGAACCATGAAACTCCTACAGACTTACATGTTGTTATTTTCTGTCACCTTGTAAGCGCTTCTACTCACCATCTTAGACAAGTACAGCCTTTCATTATTTCTAGAGACAAAAAGATCTGCAGAGTATTTTCTGGAAGAGAAAATGGTACAGCTGTCAAAGACATAGGACTAGGCTGAGACTTTCTGAGTGAAACCCCAATTGCACAAGAAATAACATCAAGAATCAACAAATGCAATTACGTGAAATTAAAAAGTATCTGTACCACCAAGAAACAACCAACAGAGGAAAGAGAACGCACAGGATGAGAAACAACTTTTGCCAGCTATACTGTGGACAAATGACTGATGTTCATTAACTTTCAATTATTTATCCCAGTCTTTTGTACTTTATCTATTGTCTTCTGTTTGTAACAGTCACACACACACACACACACACACACACACACACACACACACACACACACACTTACACAGTAAATGTACCAAGCTAAGACACTCCTTCATTTCTACCTGGCTTGCTGAGACTGAGCTCACTCCCTGCCCTCCCACAACATGCTGTACCTCAGCCTCCCTGGGCCAGGCTGCCATACAGAGCCTGTGCTGTGTTGGGGCTGAGTGTGTCCCCAAATCCAGTGCTGAGACAATGCACTATTGAGGAGGGACGTGGAGTGTTCAGGAGTTGTGTGAGTGCCCATGGAAAACCGCTGTGAGAGAGCTGTTCCCCCTTATGCCCTATGACCAAGTGCAGACACATTTGTCCCTGCCCCCATAGATGAGGACTCAGAATGAAGATCTTCACGTTACTATGGGCCTCTCAGCCTCCAGAACGGTAATAATCGAATCTTAGGTGTTTATTAGTTAAACCAGTCTCTCATGTTTTGTTATAGCAACACCAATGGAAAAAAGTAGCCTGTTTTTTTTTTTCACCATTATCTGCAGGTCCCGTGTTAGACACAGTTGCGTATTTATTCATTTGGAAATCTCACTTTTAAATTCTTGAATGTGAAATGCACAGAGATAGCCTGCATTAACATGCTGAAGGATACATGGCTATGAATCCATGTGCAGCAGGATGACAAGAGACATACATAGCTGTACGTGTGCATTGGCGACTGCATGGCTCCCACGCGTATGAACACCCCAGAGGGAGGAAGAGAACCGGAGTGGGGAGAGCAGAGCTCAAAGTGCTACCGGCTCGCTTTTGCCGGATTAAGACCTCTCCACCATCCCAACTGTTTAACAGCTGTGTCCTGTGTCCTGTGTCCTGGGCCCAGGAGTATGCAATGTTTGTCCCATTGAGGAGGAAGAGTGCGTCCTGTTTGGTTGACCCTACCACTCTATGTAGACTGGTTTCCAAATGATAGATACCCGTGTCCACAGCAGTGATGTTTCTTGGTTTCCCGAGCCACACTATTGACTCAGGCACCCTTTTCACTCTCCCCTCTCCGCCTCCTAGCTGTGGCTCCTCATTACCGGCGCTGGCGGGAGTGTGCACAGCTTTAGCTAATTGCTCCGGCAGAGCAGTAAAATGTACTTACCTAGAGTGCACTTCCAGCAGACACTATAGAGCTATTAGGTGAGAGTTATGGGTCTTGATTCACGGCTCGTATATGCACATGCACATTAGAATTAGGACTGAATCTTTATGAAAAGAAAGCTAATAACCTTTCAGCAATAAACAGGCCCTGAGACCGCGGTAAATCCTGAACTTGAAACAGCAGGGCTTAATTGTAAAAATAAAATTATATGATTTTGCCGTATGTGTTTATATGTAAAGGGCTTTAGGGCAGACTTCCCTTTCTTCTGAAACCACTAGAATAAGCACGGAAACATAAAGTCCTCTTGGTGCCAGCATATTGTAAGGACGCTATCTCTGAACACATCAGTGCGACTTGAAAGTATTTTTCAGCTGTGCCACGTTTTTATTTTTGCATGTGTGTTAAAAACAGCAAATACTCAGCTTCCCAGCTTGAGACTCTCTTAAACGCAACATGCCTTCATTTGTCAATCTAAGCCATGTTTCTTAGGCCACGAGAGAATTTTTTCACTTTGGCAGATGTGTAAAATGGGACTAAGTCGGTTTGTCATGGCATTTCCACCAGCATCCCGGAGCAGATTCGCCCTGATACTTTTAATCTGTTTTCTTGTCAGCTCTTTTTAGCCTCTTCCCGGTTCCTCTCTTTGGAGTCTGAGGCAGGCCTGCAGAGCAGGTGGGACATTCCTGGGACAGCTGGCATTCTTCCTAGAATGATAAGCACGGGGCCTGTGATTCCTCTCTCCTACTCAGCCCTTGGAAGAAAAGCACTGGTGTGGCCTGCGTGATCTCTCCTGCATGTGGGGCCCATCCTCCTGTCTGTCTGCCTGTTTCTCCTCTTGTTCCTGTAGTTCCCCTTTACTCCACATTCTTTCTCCTTTCTTTGACCACATTCCATCATGAAAAGCCCTGCTTCTCCGGGCTCTTCAGCTGGATATCCTCATTATGGCAGTAGAACAAATGCTAGAAATAGAAGTCTGAGGAGGAGATAACCATTTACGGAATTACAATAAGAAGCTCTCAAATGAAACAGAACATAAAAACCCTTTGTACTGGGCCTTCTTTATGGAGCATTTTCCCCACTGAAGCTTTCACGCTGTAATCTTCTGAATAGCAGAGCCTTGCATTACCCTGCATCTCTGGATGGGACAGCACAAAAGCATCCGTGTGACTGTCTGCTACATGGGTTTCCAGTGTCCCTTCTGCAGACTAGCTGGACGTGTTCTTGAAGACACACATCCAGTTACCATCTGAGAATAATGATGACTATTTTACAGGCTGTGTGCATATTAAACGCAGTCCATCTGGTTGCAGATATTTTGAGAGTACCTATTTTGTGGCCGGTATACAAGTCCTAGAGGGAACAGTAAAGAACAAACATAGTCTAATTGTAGAAATAGATATTTAAAGAGATAATCACAGTAATATGTGCTCTATACTGTTCTACAAGCTTTACTTGTATAAACACACCTAATTCATAGTAGTGATTTAAGATTATATGTCAGTAAACACAAGACCTAGAATGCAAGTCCAAGCATTCTGGATCACTTTATAAATAATTTTTACACTAGAAGAAAAGGAGTGAGGGTAGATGGGATGGCACACTCCTGTAATTCCAGTTTCTTAGGCACTTGAAATAGGAAGATCAAAATTTCAAGGCTTCTCTAAGCAGTGTAACAAGACCCTGTCACTCAACAAAACATTAGGAGGACTGAGGATGTAGGAGGTGTGCTTGAAAAATACAATGAATATTTAAATTTTAAAAATATATTGCATAAAAGACAGTGCTGTTATTTCCCCTCAAAACACCCTCACACTGAACACACTTAGCCCGCTGTTCTTGCCACTTTCTGAAAAGAACCTTTGGCTGTCTTTACTTGTGTTGTCCTGACTACCCCAGTGTCCCAAAGAGATTCAAAACATTTACCTTTCATTGTCATTTTGACTTTGAGGGAGAGTCAGGTTTGCAGGTTGCTGGGTCTGGTGATAAGGTGGATGAGTTCCCACAGTAATATTTTTAAGAGTTTGGCTTCCTGCTGGGCGCACTCAGCAGAAGCACTCACCACTCACTCTGTGCTGTTGGTTGGTGGGTATGGAACGTGTTACACAACATTTCCCTATTTTCTTGCCCATTGAGCTTCTGGAATTATCTTTATGATCATTTTGTTTAGTTATAAAAATATTGGAAAGAGAACCACTGTAACCAAGTCTTTGTCATTTGAGGCACAAAACCCCAGGTATTACAGGAGAAAGAGAGAGCTTCCTTGGCCAGTAGCCTCCTGAGAGATGCAGAGCGTATGTTGGATTCTGGAACCCATTTATACCATTCGCCTTGGATTACCTTAGGTTCTAGAATGACTGCTCAAAATCATTTTAGCTTCTATCCACAGAGACAGCAACACCTTCCTCTTTGTCTTTTAAATGCTATTAACAAAGAGGCTCTACCTTTTAAAAATGTGTGTGGATGTCTTCTTTCATTTCACCAACCCTTCATAGCCATTTTGCAAACCTAGTTGACCACTACATCAAGTGCCTGTATTTTTAGGTTCTATTAACTTTTATTACCCGGTTTTAGTGTTTTCTCTTGGAAAACAGAGAGCAGTGGTCCAGCATGGTTTTCCCATGTAAGTGGCTCTCCAGGAACATTGCCAGCTGAAAATCCCTGTGTTCAGGAGAATTCTCAGTGAAAGGCTAGCATCCACTCCTAGTGACCAGCCAAGCATCCAGCACCGCAGTTGGAGCAGTGTCAGGGGTAGCAAAATAAAAGCCACAATCATGCCATCTAGGAAAGCAGCCTCATTCTGTCCTCATAGTTTGATATGATTTCCGATCCTGTGGTCCAGAGGTGCAGAATGAGAGACAGACTGGTACACAGAGCAGCTCCTGGTGTCTAATTACACAGGTGACCTGCAGCAGGGTTCAGATGGGGTCTGCGGATTTTTCTTCAGAAAACGCCCGGGTAGGTCATGGGAATTCCCTGTCTGAAATGCAGCAGAAACATAAGGCAGAACTGCTTTTTCTCCTTACGAAGGTGGGCCATGGGCTCCCTAGTATAACTTTTGCGAAAAATTCATGATTATTGTCCTTGGTACCCTGAGGGAGGAATGCTCATTATGAAGGATTGGGAAAAGACAGGCAAACTGCTGCATGTGGAGCCTCTAGCCCCTATTTCTTTTTTTTTTTTTTTATCAGTACCGGGGATCGAACTCACAACTGCCTGCTTGCAAGGCAGGCGCTTATGCTGCTGAGCTAAATCCCCAGCCCTATCTAGCCCTATTTCTGCCCTGCACACCTGGCATCTCTGCTGGGATGCTATCGCCACCTTTGGTCAGCAAACAGATGGAACACCACATAGGTGATTTCCAGGTCCTCCCGGCTGTGCCACTTCTGCTGTCTCTACCTTAACTGGGTAAGACCCTATTTTCCTTTGACCACTCAACAGTTAGCTTCTCTATTCAGTGCTGTACTGATGTGATCTTTGATTCTCCTTTATAGCAGGCACTTCAGAGCATTGCTCATACATATACCACAGTTAGGGTGGATCGAGTCTCAACCCTAACCCTTCTCTCCTTTCTCATTTTTCATTCAAACCCTTTGCCCACTGGGGCTCTTATTGCCATCCAGAACAGCAAGATATTTGTTGGATGGTTACATTTACCCCACCCACCTGGTAGTACTTTATTTCCCATTATTAATGCTATTTCTTCTCTTATCTCTCAAGGACATACTCGTGCACTTATACTCCTTGGAATTTATTTCACTGATACTGTTTTAACACTTACCAAGGCTGACTTCTCCTTTCTGCTGTCCTCTACTGTTTCTCTTCAGGTCTCTTTGGCTATGTTGGTTCCATTTCTTTCAAAATGCCCCCAGACCCAGGATGATGGGGCTGGTGCCCCTCCTGACCTGAGTGAGAGGAGATGCTTCTGTAATATCCCCAACAGGCCCTGTGTGCATTCCTACTCTTTGCAGTTGCCCTGCACAGAATGAGTTGGCACCACGGGCTGTACAACCCAATTCCAGTTTCACCTCTCCCTGAATCAAACCCTGCCACTTCAAAAGCAACTGAAGACAACAACTGCTCAGCCGGTGACCTAGGATGATATAAAGGCGCTGATTCACTCTGCACAAGACTTGCTCCGTGCATCTGAAGAGGAGCCCACTGCTGAAAAGCTGCTTGTGGCAGTATTTACCAAATTGGCAATGAACTCTTTAATGCTTGTTTGTATTCTATTGCTATGTGTTTCACAACCCACCATGGAGACTTTATAGAGTCCCACAAACCTCCAAGAAAGAGTGGAATGCAGTATTTGTGTTCAACTGGCAAAAATAACTCTCATTTCTGTCTTACTCAAAAGACACAAATAAAATACATTCTCAGGTCCTGTCTGATTCCAGTTTGCAAGGACCTGCCTTTCTAAGTAATTACACCATTTTCTCCAACATTCCAAACAAAATTGTAACATATGCTGATTATCCAAGTGGAACACTCCCGCCCTTAAAAAACCTGATAATGCTGTTAAAATGTTCACTCCCTATGTAGCAACTTTAAATGCCTCATTCTCATACTGAAAATTGTACTACTCAATATCTTTACCTTCCTCATAGTTCTTGGAATTGTTCTAGCTATGAGCCCATATTGTATGGACATAGACATGTTCCTCTCCCTGCTGGATGGTTTTTCTCTTGTGAAGAGTAGATCTTCAGTTACATCTCTGCAAACTTATAACACAAAATGCTGCCTTAGTCACCTTATTATATTGTTGCCTTCCCCTGAATTTATACTGTCTCACACCAAACGGTCTACAACTAATCTCACTGACCTATGTGGGGACTTTTCTATTAGCCTATTAACCAAAACAGAATTTATACTTTAGGTTTTTCTTTGGTTGGTGTGCCTGCTCTGGCAGCCAAGGCCAATCGCAATGTTAATGCACTAGCTTGTCTTATAGCAAAGCAAATTAATTATACTTCCAGTTTTGGCATTATTAAACAAAGAACAAAGTGAGCACCAACAAGTGATTTTAGATAATTGTGCTGCAACTGATTATCTACTTCTATTGCATCATCATGGATGTAATGAAATTGCTCAAATGTGCTGTTTTAATTTGTCTGATGAAAGTAAATCCATCAGTGGGAAACTTCATAATTTATAAAAACTTACCAGATACATATGTCCCAAGGGCTCAATACTGGATTATGGAATTTCCTTACAGGATGGTTTCCAGACATCAATTGGCTAAAACAAATGTTTCTTTATGGTGTTATTGTCCTTATCTGCTGGCATCCCATCCCTATACAAAATGTTTATACCTAAATGCCAGCTTCTAACATGGTAAGAAAGCCTAAACTAAAAAAAGAAAGGGGAGATATAGAGAGGCCACTCTGACTCCATTTTGTCCCAGATACATCCAGCTGGTAACATTACGGGGAAAAGTGTAGCTTTGAAACATGGCTCCCACCCCAAGGTAAAAACATAAGGTCCTGTAAGGTCAAGAAGCAAACAAGTTATATAATCTAAGCATATGCAATTTGAGTTTCTTTGTTCTTTATCAATAAAAGTTACTTGCTTAGGCTGGCCTGGTGGCAGCCATTTTGCTGACCCTTAGTGTGTGTGAGACCTTTTATTTTCCCTTTGCTTGCAGAACCCCAACAATTATGCCTTTCAGCATAAACAGAATCAAAGAAGTACACACGAGTGCGCGCACTCAAGGGTAAGGCACACTGGTATGGTCTGGAGCTGGAGATACTTTTATGGTCTGGGGGTATCCTCTAGACCTATGATCTAGGGTGTGTATATCTGGTATTAAGTCATGCTTTCCTAGCCTGGGTTAAAATGCAACCCATTTACATGTATTTAAAGTTTGGATATGGTACTTCAGTTAGTAGTGCTGTTTCATTGAGGGTAGAAATCTGTGGGATTTGTGAATTTCTACTGTGGAAAAAAAAAAAAAAAACCACAGGCCCAATATACACAATTTTAAAGACTCTTAGGAATTAGGAGCAAGAGACTTAGAAAGGAAAAAACAGGCCTACGACTGAAAATAGTATTGTAATCTTGGGTAACTATTGTATCTTAAAACTGCAGTTTCCTAAAAATACAACTGCAAAATTACAATTTCCTTGTTTGTCTCCTTTCTACCTACCTTTATTTCTTCTACCCTACCTTAATGCCATATTTTATAGTCCCACATCCAGGCAGAACTAGAGATTCTAAAGAAGACTGTTTTTTAATCCTTCACCGACAAATGGGAAATGGGTAGCTCCTAAGTAAAAATTATTACTATGTTGGAAGTGAAAGAATGCAACAGGGAAGTCCGGAGGCCCAGCCTGAAGCATTCAAAAGGACTCAGGACTGTTCATTTTGTCCTTGTCACTTGGCTCAGGAGACAAATAGCTCTGAAAACCAAAAAGAGCTGCGGAGAAGGAATTCACAAACAAGGGTCCTGGTGTCTCCTGAAATTGCACCATGTGGGTCCTCAAGTTCCACAGCATTTCTTAGCCTGGTCTCACACCTCCGAATGGGAGTGACAAAAGGAATTTCTGCTTGCCCAAAAAGTATGAAGATTGTCCAAGAATAAAGTACAGTATTTTATAAGCATAAAGCACTTATATAAATGTGAGTAATGATTATTCATTTCCGTTGGCAGATCTTTGTTGAATGCCCATCATCAGCCAGGTGCTGTGTAAAACACAAAATAACCCTCAAGGTGTTTAGGATCCAGCTGAAGGAAATAGGAAAACGTAATTATAAGATTATGTCAAGAAAGTACAAATGTTAAGGGTGCGGGCCAGGGAGCAAGCGAGAGGGAGGGCAAAGAGAACCAAAAGGCTTTTTGAAGGAGGTTTGGGAACACTCCAAAATAACCTCAAAAAATTGCTCTGCTGTGGGCTGTGAACTCTGCTTTGTTCTAATAAAACTCACATCTAAAACACTAGAAAAGCACCATTGATATGGAATCATTATATTCACCCATTAAAGATGAGATTAATGGAGAGAAAAATCAGTGATATCTTAATGGGAAACATTTTGTTCTTACAGCTTGTGTTTAAACACCAGAAGAGTAGCATGAATTCCACCTCACATAATTAGTCCCCAATAGTTCCATTTAGCCAGTCTTTCTGGTCTAGATAATACTGCAGATCAGAGCCCAAGAAACATTTCCAAAGCACGACAATAATAGCTTTTCTTAAAATTGATGGTTTATTTAAATTCTGTTTATTTATGAAAAAGACTCCTAGGCTGCTCCGACGGCAGTGGGTTATCAGAACTTATTAACATTAGTGTCACTAAAGTTGGTATACCACCCCCCCACTGCTAAATTTGACTTAAAAAAAAAAAAAGACTCCTTACCTCCTCCCTATGGTAGGGATCACGCATACAAGGCACATACTCTATCAGGATCAGGTCCCCAGCCTAAGATAGCTATTATTACTCATTTATCATCATGTTCCTTACAAAGAAACTCCAAGAAAGTGTGTTGGTTGTTTCCTCACATTCACTGAAGAACTACTATGTATAATATATACATACTCTGTACAGTTTGTACAGAGTATGTCCAGCCCATGGGGTGGAGCATGTCTTTAAAGCTGGAGATAAATATCCATAAAAGAGAGCTAAATAATCAGTAATTGTAGATTCTGTCCCCCTATATTTGTTATTGGCTACATAAGCAAAACTGTAAGGTTAGGTGCCCCACTTCTGAAACTTGTTTCTGTTACAGCTCCTCCAGAAAAGCAGACTATCAAAAAGGGCAAGACGTTTTCTATGACTTCACATTTATAGATTTGTGACAGGCAATTTCATAGGTTCTCTTGAACCTATCATCTTTTAAAGAGTGTGCAATCATTTCAGTTTTCTCTATATACAGTAAACTTTGAAATTGGCCAAACTCATGCCCAATTAAAATTTAGAAGATAGATTTGCACATGAATAACCAGCAGTGCAAAACAACATAATATGGACTCAAAGAAGGTGTACAAAAACAAAACAAAAACAAAAACAAATATTCTCAGAATTTAGAAAAGAGATTGCAGTAAAGAACTTCAACCAGGTGGCAGAATTAGAGCTGGGAGTTTACAGCTAAATATACAAAGTTACATGCTCTGAAAACACCTGCATCTTGCCTAAAATTTTTGTTAAATGGATCTCATATAAAAGAACACATTCATTACCTCCTTTCGGGCTAACAGACAATTGATCTCCCAAAGAGATTTGAAGGGAAGAAGTGATACTCAAAACAGAGCCCCAAGACTGAGTGTAGTTCTTTTGGAAATTAGAGTTCCCACTAGCTAAATGCAAACCTTGTAAGTATTCCTATTTAGAATCTGTATCCTAAGTGAAATAGCACATATATCAAGACAAGTTACCATCTAAACAATTAAAAACTTCCTTTCGTAGCTGTTCCTTAAGCCTACAATGCAATAACCATTTTTTTGTGTGTGTGAAAGGTGGAATGTTTCTCTTTTTTTCTTTTTTCCAAATCCGTTTTATTTCAAAGGTAAAAAGAAAGAAAAGAAAGGAGAAGAAAAAAACTACAAAAAATTTCAAAACATGTCAATCAGAAGGCAACAATGGTACATACATTTCACACTGAAATCCAAATAAGATTTTTTTTTTTTTTTTTTTTTTTTGGTACTGAGGATCAAGCTCATGACCACATGCTTGCCAGGTAGGCACTTGTGCCTGTTGCACTTAACTCCTGGCCCCCAAATAACCATTTTAAAATATATTATTTTCACAGCAATTTGTTGCATCACATCACTATGGGGTAGACACACATGAACATTTTCTCATTCAGCAGCAGCAAATAGGATGAGGAAGGAAAAAGAAAAAAAAGGGACTGGGAATAGCCAAAGAAAAAGGGAACATTTATAAAGTGCTATGCAGGACAGGCACTGTGATA